CAAAATGCAAGAGGAAAGCCCATGCTTTCCAGTAGGACCTAGAAAGGAGTTAAACACACACCCCCATAAATTTGTATTTCTGTACTTGTGAGGACCTTTGATCAACACCTTACCTCTCCACTCCTGGTTTGAGTGAAAGCAGATTCAAATAATTTTGGCACCTTTATATTTTTAATCTAAAAGATGTCTTTTGGTCTCTCTTAGGACATCTGCCCAAATTCAATTTAAATTCATTACAACTTTGTGCAGGGTTAGATCAATTTAGTGGAGAAAAATACTCACAGCATAATTATACAATCTGTTCATGGTACAGCTCAGTGGGTTCTAGGAAATATTTATTGCTTTACATATACAAATCTGTGGATATAAAGATAACTATTTTACATTCTTTTTCCAGGATCTAAGCCTGTCATGCAAAAATACAGTAGGAATTGTTTTCTGGCAGTTTTTCACATTGGAATCTGGAGATAGCATGAAGAAAAGCACTGGACCATTTCCTGTCTCATTAAATTAAAAGAAACATTTCTTTTCTTGTCCTTTAGGAAACTCTGAGACATTAGCTGTCTCTATTCTGTTTCATTCAGCCATACACCATTTACAGTATATTGTTATACAAATGCGTGGTTAGCTAATAGTTTTTGATCTGTTTAGGCAGTATTATTAAAAGCCATTCCAAAGTTAAAAGGACATAATGAGGAATACCAAGAAAAATAATGAGCATGAAGGAATACAGGTGCCTACCGATTAACACACAACAGGAGTAATTTGTACCAGTAAGTATATCTACCCTGTCTTTGGTACTGTAGATTTCAATATTCCACCCACCATAGACAGTTCGAGTGCCCTGAGTATTCTAAAGAGGTTTGACACTATACCCCACATAATAGCTACATTACTGGCAGTGTACAAAGACTGTTGTTTTTACAGACATGTGTTTATGTTCCAGTCATAAAGACAGTCATACTGCTCATAGTGTTCCTTACAGCTTGCTATGATTAGTTAAACATAAGCCATATTAAGAAGTTTTCAATAACCTTTCAAATGTATACAGTATTTTGCAGTTGAAGGTGAATTGTATTTTGTCTAATCTTGGACATGCAATATTCCTCTGTCATAAACCAGAGAATAACCACATTAACAGCTACTGTAGTAATGCATTTTATTATCTTTTCTTCATTCAGTAGGAGGTTATGTCAGATTGAATCAATGACTAACAATGAGCAGATCAATCAAGGGGCTGATGAAAGTAGACGGGCGGCCTACATAAGCCTGGAAACTTTTTTTACCACAAAATGCTTTTAAAAATGCAAAACAACAAGCTATTTTTTCCTTAATATCCTTTTAGCATATAATAAAAAATATGTTTTTTTAAAAAAAGTATTTCACAGTTAGTAGTGGACAGTAAAGGGTCAAATTCTTCACAACATACAGTACTGTATATATCCTTACTTCCATCATTAACAAAACAACTGACCAGTATAAAGAACTGCCGTATGTGTATTTGTTTGCATAGGACACCTAAAACCACTTTCTGTTTTTGCCTTTTATTCTACAGTGCTTGACAGTTATGACAAGCTTTAAATTTGTGTTTCTTCTGTTTGTTTTGAGTGTTGTGCTTGTTCAAACAGATTCCAGGAAACAGCTCCCCTCACCTTGTCTTTTATTGGACTAATATTTAAACATGCTTTTTATTACTGTATACCTGAGCAGTTGCAGCTCATGAGAGAGCCCTCTCACTGGCTACAGCAACTGTATAAGTCAATTAAAATAACAATAATTAACCAACCATGGACAATCCTGCTTGAGGATGAAGATCTCAAAGATGGAATTATGAATGACTCATTAACCTGGCCACATGGGGTAGAATCTTGACTGACAGTGATCAAGCCCTGTATATTTGAATTATTCACCTTATATACAGTACAGTACTCTATATCTGAAGTGCTAAAACCAAAACAACAAGTAAGATTTCAAACTTCAGAAAACTGTGTGGATTGCCTATCAACCTTGGCTATCAGCATGAATCATTTAATTTAGCTCTTATGAGAGGATACTATCTTGTGTAAGCAGTAAATCATGAAGCTTGAAGCTAAAGGCAGATTCTTGTTTATACTGTAGCTTCTGTACATGGAATACTATTTATCAAAGTAGTTAGGTTATACAGTATGTATTTAAAGGGAAAGAGAAAAATATCATCCATGAGGAGACATCTGAACAAAGTTAAAGGCTTTTACTAAGCTTCGGTTTAAATAGTTTTCAATTATGAATATCCTCAGACTATATAAGAAAACACACTTCATATATACTGTATTGCCTGCAATTTAAGCATTTTATACAGTTAGAACTTCAATTTAATACCTTATTAAGGTATGTGATCCCAGGAAAAGAGTACTGCTTTGTCTGAAGAAAATCTTAGTTTACAACCCTGTTAGCAAAGGACTAAGGGATTATATAAATATTTTCAAGCTCAAGGTTGAAGCAGGTATGAGCTACTGTACTGTACAATGCAGAGATGTATTTTTAAGAATTAAAAATGAAACAAAATAAAAAGGTATTACCTCATTCCCTGATGTGTACCATTCTGTGGATGGAATTAGTTGTTCTAAAAAGTGTTGTATTTCAATATTAAAAATAATTTAATAACTATTAATGATGTATAATCTGGAGTTTGTTTGACACTTGCTTTCCAAATTAAATTTGAGAAACATACATACAGTTCCACCACATAGTACTTTAAGATTAGTAAATATAAATGTAAAAAAAAACAGAGAAAGTGGAAAATAGTTTTCTGTTTTGTTGCTGAAAAACAAGGATGTACAGTAGTTAATGTATTTAAGTGAAATATAATATACAAGGTAGTGCTTATCATGCTGCCTAAAGTTTTATTTCCTGACAAATTGTTATTTGATTTATTTTTAATGAGACAGAGAAGGACAGGAAGAGATCTTCTAACTGAATGCAAGTACAATAAAATCATGTGTACAGAAGATCTATGATACTGTGCATTTCTTTGATTTTAAAGGCCTTTTAAGATAAAAAAAGTCCTGAACTTCACTGGTTCTGAAATTGACTTCTGAAGCAATCATGCTGCTTTAGTGCATGAGAGTATCAGAATGGGTTTTCTGTACTTGATTTTGGCCTAGTTTAAGTCAAACCTTTATCCCACCCTCACAAATTAATCACAAATTAGAATCCCATTACTTGATGGCAGTTTTCCACTTGGTAGATGTAAGAAGCCTCTGGAAAAACAAAAAGCCCCCGTCAAGTTCTGTGTTGATGGTTTGCAATTTGTGGGTAGGTCGAGGTTTTGATTTAATCCAGGCCTTTGTCTGTAAACAGTGATGAAGATATGTATCTGGGAGCCTGAAATAAATCCATGTGTCCAACAATTCTGTATATGCATACTATACTAAGATGTTTCCGTGCACTTTTTAAAGCCGATGGTACAATCTTGTGTGACCGCTTGGAATGAACCATGAGCAGAACAAAACGAGATTGAAGAGGAACCTTGAGTTCCCAGATCTGCAGAGGCAAACAAGGTTGTTGCTTTCGCCTTGCATTTTGCTGTACACTGATCTTTAACCCACAACCAGTTTGAGAGTAGACTACTCTGCCACTTCTTACTCTGACTTGTTTTGCTCCTTTTATCAAATGTCCATTGGTTCTTGGGTCCAATTTATATTCGTTGGAAAATATGACATATTGGAGATTTGCTCCATTTCCACTATTTACAACATGAAAGCATTCCATCTGCCTGGCTGGGCACTGCTTTAATGGGGAAAAAAGTGGCAAGGAAGCCCTACAGAAGAGAACTACTTACTATTGCTTTGCTTTATTTTCAGAAATGTTATGAAACTTTAAGTACATAATAATAGATACCAAAACTGGCTTTGGTTTTTACCAAAACTGGCTAGTTTATTTTGTTTGGTTTGTTTTATGTACAGTAAGAACAAATAGTAATGATAAAATTAGATCTATAAAGGTAAAAGCTTAGATTGATCTAGAAAGAAAAGATCAGTTCTTTATAAAGTGGCCAATATGTTAATTATATCTCCAGTAGCAGTTCTTGACAGGGACAGTGTTATACAACTTCAACCTGAACATTTTCTTATTTAATAGAGTGTGAGATTTGAAATGTACTTTGGTTTAAAAATTACTTTTGAAGATCTATACCCTCACATCTTTTACATTTCCATAGAATACATATTTCATAAATTGTTCACATTCCAATCCTAACCAAGGCCAAATTGTCAAACTGATAAAGACAAAAGATGGCAGTTTCTACAGTCCCTGAACTGTACACAAGATTCACATTAATCCAAAAGGCTTTACAAACACTAGGCTATTGTACAGTATGCATTTCAAAAGTTCTATTAGGAACATATATTTTCCATTGGGTAAAAATAACTAGTAATGTTTTAACTAAAACCAAAAAGGCCAAGGGCACACTGCAGTCTGTTCTTTCGATTTACTTATGATTCATATTCAAGACCAGGATGAAGCAGATGAATACAAATTCCAACCTATAGAGTGTCACAAAGCAAAACTTGCGTTTTTCAACTGTGTTGATTTCAAATCATGTTAGATGTCTGTTACACAAGCCCAAAACAAAAGACAGCACTGAACATTTCATAACTAAATTAGAAAAGCATATGCCTTCTTAGAATGACTTGAACTGATGATTTTTGGCAGGATTTGATTAGACACAGAAGTACACTAATGCTTCTTTTTGAGGTTTAAATTGAGAGATGCGTGTTTATAGGTGATAATCTCACAAACATATACATTTCAAGCCTGGAAACGTTTCTCTTCTCTCCAGGATGAAGTGTTGCATGTCAAGTTCCTTCTCCTGCTTAAAAACAGCCCTTCAGAAAAATATGTTCTAAGAAATACAGTTATGAAAGAGACATACTGTACCACCATTAGGATGTACTGTGTTGGAATGAACCAAGCATACAGTATAACACGTAAGTGCTAATCAAAGCCTTGTTCTCTCCCAGATTCTCTAGGTGGTCCATTTCCTGCCAACTCTCATCGATGTCACCACAAACCCAAGCGCTGCCTCCCCATACAGCAGTGTGGTGGGTTCCCCGTCAGCCCCCTGCTCTTCCACCCTAATGCCAAGGGCTCCCAGATTGTCATGGATCTGACGCAGAAGGCAGTGAAGAGACAGGCCAGCTTCTGCAATGCCATCACCTTCAGTAACCGACCAGTGGTTCTTTACGAGCAGGTCAAACTAAAGGTATTTACCTGACTTCAATCCTTTAAAGAGATTTGTTTTTAACCCTGATGTTTGTAACCTCCATACATTACCTAATCCTGTCTGTGATACAGGTGCTTCCACTCCAGACGTAAATTGAGCACTGATCGTACCCAGTGATCCGCTCCAAAGTGAAAGGCATGGGTTAACAACCATATGACCACAGGGTGAATCCCCCCCCTCCCAACACCATGTGCTGGATTAGTGGCTTTTTAGTTTTAATGAGTTACACACTGACTTTTATAACAACAGGAGCTAAGACAAAAATACATATTCTGATTTATTAAGTAATAGATCTGTTTTTCTTTTCTCATGCATAATAATAAATTTATTTAGACATATTTAAGATATTTTTGTAAGTCCACAATTTTATGGGTTTTTGAATTCCAGAATGCTGTTGCTTGTTTACATTTTAATTCTTTTTGAATTACCTTAGAAAAATAGTCTTGGTAGCTGCTTTGATTCATCCCCAGAGTTGTTTTATATAAACAAAAATCTCCAGGACACTACAAAAAACAACAGCTGATATTTTTTTGTGCTCTAGTCAAGTCAAAGGGGAACAGATGTACTGAATTACAGCTTTTGGACAAGAAACAAGGCAGACACATTTTCATTCATGAACAGACTTCCAATGGAAGTTAAAAAAGAAATTAAATAAAAACAACCTTTTCAGTATTTGGAATACTTATCTTCTACACTACCTATCAATTTTAAATACACTATTTTAAAAACATATTCATGATACAGAAAACTTGATCATTTAAATAAGCAACCTATAACCTAGAGTAAATGTTAATTTGCCTCAAAATGCTTAAGACATACAGTATGCCCATATCGTAAGCATCTGTGTCAGGCCCTGCATGATGCGCAAAGTCAGAGTTGTATCTGACTTGTCTCTTCTGTCTGATCCATTAATCTGTGTTGTTTGCAATTTCTTTCTCTACCATCACTATTTTGTTTTAATTTTTGCAAGGCTCAGGATGTGGTTGGGGGCTCACACCAGTCATACTCGTGTGTATCTGCCTGCTTTCCTCTAGATCACAAAGAAGCAATGCTGCTGGAGTGGGGCTCTAAGGTTGGGCTTTACTGCCAAAGACCCATCTCGGATTAACCCAGACAGTCTACCTAAATACGCCTGCCCTGACCTGGTGTCCCAGAGCGGTTTCTGGGCAAAGGCTCTGCCAGAGGAGTTTGCCAATGAAGGCAACATCATTGCTTTTTGGGTGGACAAAAAGGGACGGGTGTTCTACAGGGTCAACGACTCCAGCCCCATGCTATTCTTCAGTGGAGTCCGAATCACCGAACCTCTCTGGGCCCTGATCGATGTGTATGGGCTGACTCGCGGGGTACAGTTGCTTGGTAAGTTAATGAAGGGTAACAGACCGACCAGCATCTGTGTTTCATGGCTGTTTGTATTGTCCTGTGCTCTTGCAGAGAAGATGCAGCAACTGTAGATGAATAACACTGACTCCCCGGTAGTATTACAAACTAAACACTTAAATAAGCACAATTTTCATTGACTTTTCAAAGACTCATTATGGGGCTGCTGAATGTATTTGCAGATAGTGACCTATTAAATTAACTAAAGAAGTTCTGTATGTACAACTTCCTGTTAATACAACACTTGTACTCTTCTGATGCTCCACTGTTTTTTTAGTCTTAGAGGTTCCTCTTTCTTTGATGTACTGTAGGTTGTCCTCTAGCAGATAATTATTGCCCGCGACAGAATACCTTTTCTTCCTTTTTTCTAGTGTTTACAAAAGTATAATTGTCTAAGTTACTTCTGATTGTGTAGAGTTTTCAGCTTTGTATTTCTGTTGTAAGAGACACATTTCTGTGAAATGAGGCAGCAAACAAAGATCGGAATTGTTTCATGGTAACATTGCGTACGTTTGTTGGTACACAAAAAATAGCCTCTGCAGGTAGAATTCAGGGCTTTGTAGAGACAATGCAACCGTTCTGAAAACTGGACAAACCTGTTTTTACATTGTTTCCACAGAAAACTGATCAGAGTGGACAAAACCTTGTTTGCCAGTAAATGGTATACACTGCATGTGTTACATATTGATTAGGACACCTACAAGTAAAGAGAGATTGGTTTCTTGGTTAAAGTGATCAATGTGAAAATTGTAGAATTTCTAATTAAAAGGCTACAACTTGAAAATGTCCATTCTAGTGTAGAAATGAATCACTCTTTGCCTCCCAGGCTTACTGACAGGAATTTGGCACAATAGAAATTAAGCTTGAGTGCACAAGTGAAACTTCTTTACATGTCAGGAACCTGCAGTTGCCAAGATCTTAATACACTTCACTCTTCCCACCACTTGAAATGATCTGAAATAATTGTGTTATCTTTCAGACACTCTTTGTTTAACTGGGCAAATCATTGTAACGGGGCATGAAAACATCAACTTCTTAAAAGTTGTCACTTTTTAAAAAATAACCATTTTCTCTGCTTTAGATTCTGATTTTGTTAAAGAACTTTGTCAGGACCTTTTCCCAATATCCAAGGTTAGGAAATATACAACCCAAAACACAGAAATGTGTGATCTGGTATTGCCTGTATACATTATTTTTTTATTAGTTATTTATTATTAGTTTGCCGTAATCATACAGTACATAACCCTGGGGCAATACTACACTGCAATACTACACTGAAAGACATTAAAAAATTGACTTGTATTTTCATGTTCTCAGTATAATATATACTTTATGCGTACAGTATATATGCAGGACTGAACAACAACGCACCTAACTCTTAAAACAAAATTGACCAAATAATTTGCTGACTCTCTGTTATGGAATAGTTTTAAATCACACTATCATTGTTCACTTGTGTAGCTGCTCCTCTATGCAGCACGTGACTCTCCATTCCAGCCCAGACTTTTCTATGGTTACCCACATTGGCAACAACCCAGCTGTTTGTTCCAAAAAAGAAATAAACACAATAGAACATGAATCATCTGGTAAAATAAATTCCATACCATGTATTTTTAGAAAACACCTGTTCAGACTGTAATACAGTACTTGGAATACCTCCTACCCAAAGAACACTGGGGTTATTTACAGTAGGTTCGATTACAATGGACTGTATCAGTGCAAATAAAAAAATGAATTTAAATGATACACAATTAAATGCAGTTTAAAAAGGAGTTAGTATTACTTAAAGACTATCCTCAAAAGACTTTGGATTGCATCTGACCCATGGGAGGAAGATGCTAGAAAGAAGTGGTACAACATGATCTAAACTGGTGTATTGAAGTCTGAGGTTAAATGTACAGTATTTGGCTAGCCCAAGATAAATCCAGGCCATACTAACAGTACATCATCCATAATGGACTTTATGGGTGGATGAAATGATCAAAATTAAATGGAAAGAAATTACAGACCATCACGGTGATTATCATGAAAAGGGAAGGTACCAATTGTACAGAAGACCTCATAAAATATCAGTATGAATGTTATTGCCTCTCTACCGCTTTATACCTTCCAGTGATAAAAGATGGAATACATTTACCGAGATAAACTAACCACACTCTCCTTACCAATTCAGGAGTCCTGTTCTCCTACTTTTTTTCCTGTATACTTGTAGCCTATTGTCTTGTTTATACTACTGTGTGTCATTTAGTGTTTGTAATTTGGAGTGGCAATATTTGTCCTAATAATAAAAATAATGACAATTAAAAGGGAACCAGCTCAGGAATGTTCTGGAACTATCCCAGTACTCTCTAGGGAATTCATGTTGTCATCCCTTTCATTAAAAATAGAACTTAGCCACTTGTTCTTTAGATAGCTTCATTTAACCTAATTTTAAGCTGTGCCAGTTGACAGTGGCGTCCTTCCTATCTTGTGGTGGGATATGCTGTGTGCAACACAGGACACGCTAAGTAAGACTATCTACAATTTACTAGCCTCTGAGGACGAAGTGGTGACAAGTGCCGTAAAGCTTTTGTTCCTCGACAAACTGCTAAAGAAATGGGCGCCCTAAATTTGTACGGTGACATCACTGTATAAGGCAAAAGGGCTTTAATGTAGATTTAAACAAGAACTAAACAGAAAAAAAATATTTGATAAATACCTATTTTCATTCTAAACAGAGACAGAGTTCTGACAACAGGCTTCATGAGAATGAAATGGAAATCAGCTGTCTTGGTCTGCCCACATGGTTCTGCTTGTAGGACTGCTAATGGAGAAACCATGCTGTGGTGTTTTAACAACAACAGCGGCACAAGTTTAATCAATAATACCTCAGCCATTTACAGGCAGATCTCGCTCGCTTGATCCAGCCTACTCAGGAGCACTATTAATCCCATGGGTCCCACTGGCTGCCAGGTTACTAAAGCAGAACCCACATGATTTTGGAAAGGCATGGCGAATACATTAAGTAACTATAACATCCTGTTCTTGTCACACTGTTGCTCTGGAGGGAGGAATATTCCAGTGTCATAAAATTAAGGTAAACTGGTTTTAGGAGGCCAGGTAATCTGTTGGTCAAGGAACATAAAGTCTTTTTTGCAAGAAAGTTCCCAGTTCAAGGTGCAGTACTTTCACAGCCTCACGCTGCTCTGAGCCTGAAATGTAGAGCTGAGGTACTTTTGTGACTGACTGCAGCGGGACTTTTTGATTGATAGCTCTCTGTATCAACTGTGCAATGTCATCATGTGGTATTTTATTCATTTTATCATATTGTTCAATATATCTAAATATATTATATGAATTAAATACAATTAGTAAAATATAAATTGGACCTGGGCTGCTATCTGCATGCAGTTTGTATGTTCTCCAAGTGTTCATGTGGGTTTCAGCTCAGTTTCCTCCCACATTCCCCAAAAATCTCATACTGGTAGGTTAATTGGCCTCTGGGAAAAATTAGCCGTGTTGTGAGCATTGTTGTGTTTGTGTCTGTGTTGCCCTGTGAAGGATTGGCATCCTCTCCAGGGTGTATCCTGCCTTGCACACATTAGGATATTCTGCCTGTATTGAATAAAGTTGTGACAAAATGAATGAATGGATAATATAAATTATTCTTATAATAACTATTAGCAGTAATGTTATACTGAACTATTGACTTTGTTACTATACTGGTTTATTAGATACAGTCTCTAGATTACTCCATTTAGTAAATTAGTTACAGTTGGATATAATGCAGTGGAATGTTTTGTATATTTGGTCTGGGTTGATTCTAATTCTTTTTATTTTTTATTTTTTTACCAAGTCTTTGAAATAACTATATTTGTGTTCTTGTGGGACTTTAGTTACTTCCTTTTAATAATACAGATAATCAAAGTAATCTTTTATTCTGCATTTTAAAACATTATATACTGTAGAAGTTAATTGGAGCTAGTATCCACTGAGAGAAACCAGATGTGCAACTCCTATAGTTCTTATTTTAATGATAAGCAAGAAAACATTGTGTATAGCAGCCATATCACCCTGCAACTCACAACTGGCAGCTAAGCAGGTCTGTACCTGGATGGGAGACCTCCTGGGAAAAAATAAGGTTGCTGCTGGAAGAGGTGTTAGTGGGGCCAGCAGGGGGTGCTTACCCTGCAGTCCATGTGGATTCTAATGCCCCAGTATAGTGATGGGGACACTGTACTGTAAACAGGTGCCATCCTTCGGATGAGATGTAAAACTGAGGTCCTGACTCTCTGTGGTCATTAAAAATCCCAGGGCACTTCTTGGAAAGAGTAGGGGTGTAACCCCGGCATCCTGGCCAAATTTCCCATTGGCCCTTACCAATCATGGCCTCCTAATAATCCCCATCTATTAATTGGCTTCATTACTCTGCTCTCCTCCCCACTGATAGCTGATGTGTGGTGAGCATTCTGGCGCACTATGGCTGCCGTCGCATCATCCAGGTGGATGCTGCACATTGGTGGTGGTGGAAGGGAGTCCCCATTACCTGTAAAGCACTTTGAGTGGAGTGTCCAGAAAAGCGCTATCTGTAAGTGTAACCAATTATTATTAAAAGCTGGTAGAAGTTGGTAAATAAGTCAATTTAAGACAATAATGAGAAGATTTAGATTGTTGAGAACTGAGCTAGAATGAAAACCCATTACCTGTAAAGCACTTTGAGTGGAGTGTCCAAAAAAGTGCTATATAAGTGTAAGCAATTCTTATTATTAATTGTTAATTATTATTCCATCCTGATCCTCTTTTATTTTTATTCAGGAAGAGTGTGACAATAGTGTCTGGTATCTTAGTTTTAAGTCTCAAAAAGCTTTCAGCTACAGCAGGGAAAATCTTACCGTCAGCTATTTTAGCATAACTTGGGAACATGACCATGGATGAATGGTCACACTCCTTCATAATATGCAAAGTTACCATTTGGGAGTGAGAGAAAAATATCTCTGTAA